TCGTTGGCTGTCCCCCGGCAGAATGCTGAAACATCAGGTTGTCTTACTGGAACAAGACGATGTGGAATTAAAAACCACAGCAATTGTTAACCCAGCAGTGTTCCTGTCAGCAGAGAACCCGATGGGAAACTTAGAACGTGACTGCCTGTTAACAATTGAACAAGTCTATTCCAGCAGACCAGACCTGAGAGATGAACCCTCGGAAAATCCTGACACGGAACTGTTTACCGATGGAAGCAGTTTTGTACAAGGAGGGAAATAAATAGCCGGATATGCCATCGTCACCACCATAAAGGTATTGGAGTCAGAGACCCTGCCTGCAAATACCTCGGCACAGAAAGCAGAATTGGTGGCTTTAAAGCAGGCCTTGCGAATGGCAGCAAGACAGAGGACAAATATCTGGACTGATTCTAAATATGCATTTGGTGTGATTCATGCTCATGGGAGCTATTTGGAAGGAAAGAGGACTGTTATCAGCCCAGGGATCATCGATAAAGCATAAAGAAGAAATTCTCCAACTCCTGGAAGATGTGTAGAAACCAAAGGAAGTGGCAGTAATGCATTGCAGAGCTCAGCAATTCGGACAGACAGCTGTAAATATAGGTAATCGATTGGCAGATAAAGCTGCAAAGGAGGCTGCAGCACAAGGTATCCTTGCATTAGTACCAGTAAAACAGATAAAAATCCCAAATTTAAAACAAAAATGTAATAAATTGGATGATCAATTAGCAGAACAATTGAAAGCGTTACAAAATACAGAAGGATAGTGGGTAATGCCAGAAAAATAAGTAATAGTAACCCTGCAAGTTATGTTAGAACTTGCAAAAGAGAAGCATGAGCAAACACATTGGGGTGTAGATGCTATGGTTTCGAGTTTGAAAATATCTGTTGTGTGTATAAGGATGACAGGAATGGTTAAATCAATAGTAGCTAAAAATGTCTAATCTGTCTTAGAAACAATCCCCTGAACCAAAAGAAAACACCTTTAAGAGTAACAAAACAAGGAAATTCTCCCAGAGATTATTAGCAAATTGATTTTTCTAAGTTACGCAGACAAAATAGATACAGATATTTGCTAGTGCTGATCGATACATTTTCAAGGTAGCCAGAAGCTTTCCCTTGCTGCACCAACAAAGCTAGAGAAGTAGTTAAAATATTATTGAAAGAAATAATACCAAGATTTGGGGTGCCAGTAGGAATGTCCTCTGATAGAGGACCTCACTTTGTAGTGGATGTAGTTCAATGAATTAGTGAAATCTGGGGTACAAAACAGGACCTACATACCCCCTGGAGACCACAATCAAGTGGAAAATTGAGGGGATGAACCAAACACTGAAAAGACAAGTAAGTAAAATCTGTCAAGAAGTGTCTTTAAAATGGCCGATGGTAAACCTTACCAGACTCCTCTCATCCCAGGAGATATGAAGGTAGCAGGGGAAACAGATTTGAAAGTGTATTTGATTTCTTTAGGAAAAGTCCTTAGAGCCCTCCAAAGATACATCATGCTGACAAGATCACTTGCCTTAGATATGCCTGCACATCAGTATCAGCCAAGTGATTTCATGTATGTAAAGACATAGAAGTCTGAACCACTGCAGGAGAAGTGGAAGGGACCCTTCCAGGTACTGCTAACAACTTATACTGCAATCAAAGTAGAAGGAGTAGAACCGTGAATACACTACATTTGAGTGAAGAGGGCCCCTTCATGGAAGATCATCAATAAGGATCCAGAGACTGCAAAGTTGACTTTAAAATATGTTTAAGAAGAGGAGAACATCATTGTAAAACATGAGAAAAATAGATTCTGATTTGGAGACTGATGATGATGAGAGCATTGTTTGAAGTAGAGGCACATTGATCAAGATTGAGAGCAGAGAGTGAGAATCCGCTGTCAACAGAAGCAGAACAGTTGATACACATCTCAAGAAGAATTCCAGAAGAAAACTTAATGATAAGATTGATAAAACAGTTTGCTAATTTGCAAAATGTTATCCAAGTAACGGCATGTCTCCCAATCCCAAGAGCAGTAGGTGAATCAGTTTCATGGGGAATTTTGATGACAGATAGAAAAAGATACCCAAGAAATTCAACAAGAAATGCAAGAGAATTGGCTGGATAAAATTTTTAGTAGATTAAGTTGGAAATTGAGTTCATGGATCAAATCTTTGATTCAAACTGTATTATTGTTATTAGTAGCATTTTTTTATTAATACTACTTGTTTACTACTGTTTAAAAAGAGAACTCACTAAGAGAACTGCCCTCAAATGAATTGTTATGCAAGCAGTAACTAAGAGACAAGATTTGAGTGATTCAACCGAGACACTCCCACCATCATACAATGAATCCACAAATTAATGAATTAAATGAATTAGTTGTTTAAAGTGGAAGTATTGAAAAAATGATTATTTCAAAACTTCCAAAGGGGGGAAATGTAACCAAAATGATGATGAAATTGTTATGTATCTTAGTTTTCAGCATTGGGGTGATGGGATC